AGTCTAATTCAGGATGATATTCCAGAGGGATGATCTCATCCTGGGCCGCCACAACTGAGGTAAATACATCCCAGTTGCCAAAAGCCTGATTTTTTTTTTAATCAAGTGGCCATGAGACTTATTTTCTTGGAAAGAAAAATTATGCTGCTCCCTGATGTCTATCAATTTCAGATATCTACTTCTTTTTAAAATAATGATAATAATTTGAGGTAGTTCTAATGACTATGTTAGTTGCCATAGTCATTAAATGTGAGGACTGGTCATACGTCAGTTTTTTTCCAGTGCCATTGTAATCTGGAATGGTCACTAAACAAGTGCTTGTAAATCAAGGACCACCTGTAAAAGGATCCTTGACCATTTTTAAATTCAGGGATGCCGATAACCTAGTGAACATGAAAGAATGGATTTGGGAACACACTCAAATTCACAGGCATGTTTGACTGTTTTGAGTGCGAGAGAGACACAGAAAGCCAGAGAATAGAATAAAATAACAGAGTTGGAAGGGACCTTGGAGGTCGTCTAGTCCAACCCCCTGCCTAGGCAGGAAACCCTACACCACTTCAGACAAATGGTTATCCCACATCTTTTAAAAACTTTCAGTGTTGGAGCAAGTCAGAACTTCTGGAGTCCAGTTGTTCCACTGATTCATTGTTCTCCCTGTCAGGAAATTCCTCCTTAGTTCTAAATTGCTTCTCTCCTTGACGAGTTTCCACCCGTTGCTTCTTGTCCTGATTTCAGGTACTTTGGAGAATAAATAGCTTGACTCCCTCTTCTCTGGGGCAGCCCCTGAGATATTGGAACACTGCGAGATCCAATTACCATTTTTTTCCCCTCAATATGGTTTGTACTATAGATCCGGCACATTGGATTTCTGTATGATGCTGTCGGCTGGTCGTTGGAAGTCTCCCAAGAAATGCTACGACTCCTCCACCGTGGGACAAGCAACGCTGCTCAGATGTGGGAGCAAAGTGGATTTAAGCGACTCCTACGGGATCACCTCCCCATGTACCTGAGGAGGCTTCAAAGCATCCTACAACAAATCCAGCTGGAGCTGCAAAGTAAGCCCAGATGGGTAAAAGAAAGGTGTAAAACTACAGAGGGAACAGCAGCCTTGAAGGACAGGAAGAAGGCAATGATCAGATAAAAGAGGCTCCCTCCCTATTTGATACAAAGATAAATGGGGAGGGGGAGAGAAACATAGGCAGATTGGCAGGAAATCTATTTATGTATTATTATTTATTAAATTGTTGTCCCACCTTTATTACTTTATAGGTAACTCATGGCAATAAATATAAATGAGCCACAGTGGTGCTGTGGTTAGAGTGCAGTACTTGCAGGCTACTTCTGCCGACTGCCGGCTGCCTGCAATTTGGCAGTTCGTAAAACGAGGACCCAGATTGTTGAGGGCAATAGGCTGACTGTGTAAACCACTTAGAGAGGGCTGGGAAGCACTGTGAAGCGGTATATAAGTCTAAGTGCGCTTGCTGTTGCTCTTCCTTCCTTCCTTCCTTCCTTCCTTCCTTCCTTCCTTCCTTCCTTCCTTCCTTCCTTCTTTCCTTCCTTCCTTCCTTCCTTCCTTCCTTCCTTCCATCCATCCATGGTGTGCAGTGGGTAGAATGCAGCATTGCAGACTAAGTCTGCCCACTGCCAGGAGTTCAATCAACCTTCCAGCCTTCCAAGGTCGGTAAAATGAGGACCCAAATTGTCGGGGGAAAGATGCTATGTAAACTGCTTCGAAAGGGCTGTAAAGCACTGTAAAGCGGGATATAAGTCTAAGTGCTATTGTTGTTGCTATAAATAATGCTCTTTCCACCTATTTTCCCCACAACTACAACTCCATGAGTTGAATTGGATTGAGAAAGACTGGTCCAAAGTCACCGAGCCAGCTTGATGACTAAGGCGAGACTACAACTCACAGTCTCCTGGTTTCCAAGCCAACACTTTAACCACTACATCAAACTGGCTGTACCTCTGTTCCTAAAGCTTTACAGTAAAAGTAGCCTTGACTTGATAAATTGGATTTCAAGTCTGGTCTACCTTTAAGAGCTGACAAATGGTGAGACACGCCAAGCAAAAACAGAATACATTGATGAATAATCTGTCCAACATGCCACTATATGTTCCTCCCAGACTTGAATTCTTGGTGGGAGAGATGCTAAGGACAGCCTAGATTTTCAAAAAATGAAAAAAATGTGTTGATGTAAAAACTGAATAAAGATCCATTATGTCAACAGCCATCTGAAAAGGTTTCTATTATCAATGCTGGAAATTGTCTACTTGCTGGTTTATAGGAAGGCTGTTAGAAAATCAGGACATCCCTATGGAAGTATAAATAGGGATATAATTTAAACTCAGAATAATTTAATTGCTGGAATTCTTCTATTCTCATCTCGTTCGTGTCAATAAATCTTGCTAAAGAAAATACCGTGGGGATTGTCCTGGGAAAGAATTACTTGGATTTTTAGCAGATGTGAAGGACTCTGGTCGTTGAATTCTTGGCAACTGCCTAATCCCAACTCCCAGTCCATGGATTGGCACCGGGATGCAGCTGCCAGAAACTGGGTCACACAAACAAGCAAAACCCCATTCGCGGATACAGGTAGCACACAAAACCATGCCCCGTTTGGTCCACGAAATAACCTCTCTCCACGGAAGTGTCATGCCCCTGTTGGAACCTGAATCTGAGGGGGAAGACGAACAGCTGTCAAAGAGCGGGAGAGTGGCTCCATTGGCTGTGGAGGAAACTGGGGAAGGGCTGGGCAGAGCAGGGAAGAGGTAGAACAAGGGAGAGGGGGTTCAGAGGAAGACCAAAGCCCACCTCTTGGCACACAGGGAAGAATGCAGAAGAGAGCAACGTGGGTTGCATGGCTTACGAGGAAGGAAAGGGCCCTGATTCCCTTCACAAAGCACATCTGAGGATAGAGTTTAAAGGAGAGGCAGCTGGGTGGAGTGTTTGTCAGGAACAAATGCTGAATTCATCTAGTGTTGTGAGTTTTAGCCTGCATTCCTAGCATTCTTCCTGCCTGTGTGAATTATTACCGTGCTTCTGTGTGCTTATCTTGCCTTGCTGGAATTATTGGACTCATTATCTTGCCCTGCTGGAGTGATTGATTGCAGTCATTCTGCTTATAGCATTTGGACTGGAGTATCTGCAGCCAGAGGCTGTTGCAGGTTCGTGGGAGAGTTTTTCTCCAGGCCGGAGAGTAAATGGAATGTTGGAGGCAAAGTTGGAGCAAATAAAGGGACTCATGCTTGTTCTCTGGCTGTGTTGTCTTTGTGCCACACCCTGGGTCATCGCAGAACTGGTCCCTGATGTCCCAAAGGTTGGGGGGCACTGGCCTAATAAAACTCCTTTCAAGATGATAGGACTTTATGGTAGAGCTTCATGATAGACCCTTTTTAATATTTTTGTTCTTACTATGTTGTTTTTAAAACATCTTACTCAAGAGCCACTAACCACCCTAAAAGATGCCTACTATGATGTGACTTTGAAACCTTTGGATGAAGTTTGGCAACAGAAGACCGATGCGTATCTAAAGAAACTTCAGGCACTGGTGCCGACAGTTGTGAAAGACGTGTGGCTGATGGAACCTATCCAGGTTGCATTGAGAGCTCTCAAAACTGGCTTTGATATGGTTGGTATTGTATATTTTCTCTTGTACACAGTTCCTGGTAGGACTTTTTTTTTTTTATAAACTTTATTGAATTGTTATTACATTAAAAACATAAAAATATATCACTCAATAACAGCTATTTGCGGTGCTTATCATATAACAATCATTTGTGCAATATTTACAGATATTAATTTGTCCATAATTATATTCTTATTCTATCTATATTCTATATTTAATAATTACCTATCCTTAATCTGTCTCCAATCTACCCAGCTATACCATTGTTCCCATACCTTATAAAATATTGAAGTTTCCTTATCTTTTAAACTCAGCGTTAGTTTATCCATTTCAGCACAATTCATAACTTTTTGTATAACCAGTTCCTCTACAGGTGTATATGGCTGTTTCCAACATTGGGCAAAGGTGGTCCTGGCAGCAGTCAATATGTGTAATAATAAGTATTTTGTGGTCTTTGCGTATTTTTTTTTTTTGAAGTTCCCCAATAGGAAGAGTTCTGGTTCTATGTCTAATTGTTCATTGGTAATTTCCTGTAGCCAATTTTTGATTTTAAGCCAGTATTTTCGAGCCTCTGGGCAGGACCACTACATATGATAATATGTTCCCTCTTTTTTTTCACATTTCCAACATATAGGGGTATGACTTTTCTTAACAGGCTGCATGGATGTTGCTTTCATTCTCCCAAAGAGAACACTGAGGCTGCTGTTATAAAAATAGTCCAATAAAAGAGGAACACAGACAATCCACAAGCAATAAATCTTACTTTAAGATCAGAGGTTTATTTCATTGGCAATTTGGAACACGAAAAGCCATCATTACATTACTTATATCAATAACCCATTGCAATGAGGTCCAGAGGCAGTAGCTAACATCCGAAAGGACAGCTACTATCAGTGGCCATGATTTGAGATTTACCCCCTTCTTTTATACCCTTCTTCTTTTAAAGCCCACCCAGTGGTATGTAATCTTACTGGATGTGCTTCCCTCATACTGTCCATCAATTAACACCCACTTGTAGGTATATATGCCAGTTCGCTTACAATCTGCTACTTTCAGTTCCCTTTTTTTCTCAGTGTCCCAGATACTCTTGATCCAAAATAGCTCTGATCGTCTTGCAATTATGTGTTTTTGCAAAGTGGCAGATTGCAAACATTTTGCTATGCTTGCAAAATGAGCTCAGACTACCCTTTAATATATTGTTAATTTGAGGCCTTCAACTAGACAGAGCTTTAAAGCCTACTTGTCCATACTCCCCTGTGCTTGTTGGTAGGATCTTGTGAGTAAAATCTCCCACTTCCTGTTATATATATGGCTTTCCACAAATAAAATGAAACCAGTTTCCCGACAGCTGTTTTACTTGTAAACCATGGAGAGTTGCACTACTGCGCTGAATTAAAAAAATATAATGTGTAAATAAGTATATGTTCATTTGACATTTAGTGCTTCTGTTTTAATAATAAAATCTAAAGCTGATTATTATTTCATCGTGATAACAGGCAACCCAACAGATACTAAACTGGGCAGAAGCCAAATTATCCCGAATATTCAGCAGGCTCCAAAAATCTATATCGAATCTGTACAGATTCTCACCCAGGTAGCATACACTTCTTGTTCTCTTTTATGACTTCTTGTTACATGGCTGTCTCCTCCTTTATTTCTTCCTCCAGTTGTGTCTCAACTGTGGTTGTATGTCTAGGACTACCTTCACTTTACTCTAACAGATAGTCCTCAACTTACTGTTCAACCATTTATTTAGCAACCGTTCGAAGTTACAACAGTACTGAAAAAAAAGGACTTATGGCCGTTTTTCATACTTACGGCCATTGCCGCATCCCCACAGTCACGTGATCAAAATTCAGACCCTTGGCAACTGGCTCATGTGATCCCCTTTGGCAACCTTCTGACGATTAAAGCCAATGGGGAAGCCGGATTTACTTTAAAAACCGCGTTACTGATTTGACAACTGCAGGGATTGACTTAAAACTGCAGCAAGAAAGGGCAAAAATGGGGGGAAATTCACTTAACAACTGTCTTGCTTAGTAACAGAATTAAGGGTTCAATTGCGGTGGCTAAGATGCTGAGCTTGTCGATCAGAAAAGGTCGGCAGTTCAGCGGTTCGAATCCCCAGCACCGTGTGACGGAGTGAGCTCCCGTGACTTGTCCCAGCTTCTGCCAACCGCGCAGTTCGAAAGCAGGTAAAAAATGCAAGTAGAAAAATAGGGACCACCTTTGGTGGGAAGGGAACAGTGTGTTCCGTGTGCCTTCGAAGGCATTTAGTTCTGCAGGCCACATGACCACGGAGACGTCTTCGGACAGCGCTGGCTCTTTGGCTTTGTAAGGGAGACAAGCACCTCCCCCTAGATACGGAAACTACTAGCACAGATGTGCGAGGGGAACTCTTTACCTTTACTATGGTTCTAAGTTGAGTTCTGCAGGTTCTTGAGTTTTATGGATGCACGGTCATGCCATTGGAATTTGGAAGCTTGGCAATTGGCTCCTATTTATGACGGTTGCACAGTGATCATGGGATCACTGTTTGCGACCTTCTGACATGCGAAAACAAGGGGGAATCCGGATTAACTTGACAATCGCGTTACTAATTTAACAACTGTGGTGAGTCACTTAACAACTGTGGCAAGAAAGGTCGTAAAATGGAGCCAAGCTCACTTAAGAACTGCCTCGCTTAGCCACAGAATTATGGCCTCCATTGTGGTTGTAAGTCAAGGACTACCTATCATGAGTTTTTGCAAGATCTTGAGTTTTATGGATGCATTTCCAAAGCTGCTTTAAATCAATAAGTCGTCCATGTCGATGCCTTGCAGGAACTGTTCTGTGGCATTGAGTTTGCCTGTCGTGCCCAAAGGAGGAGCCGCATTAGATATGATCCACCTTACAAACCACATCATTGAAGAGAAAGTTGTGAAGCCCCTTCGGGGCCTCTATCACATCAATCTGGCTGCAGAATACTACAGATTCAAGCGAGCCATCATGGAGAGCCCTTTTGAACGTAAGTTCTTGGAGACACTTTTCATTTTGATCCCTCCGCTTCTTTTACAGCTCTTGAAAGATGAGGAGGAGGGATCTAGCGTTGGTTGGTTGGTTTGTGTCAGCGTTCCAAGTAACAACCTCCAAATTAAAAGACTCCCGAAGACTGTCATCTTCTCAAAGATCCATTGTATTAGAGATGGCTTATTGGCATATCTGAGGAAATCCCAAATCTGAGATTTCTGGGGTTTTTCCTCAGCCCAAAGAGAATCCAAAATCCAGCCCCTGCTCCCAATAGTCCATCATATGGTCCGATCATCATCTCATACCAACTGGAGACTATCCCTAGTCACTCCCCTCCAGGTGCAGAGCAACATGTCCTTGACTCTCTGAGAAAGGAATGTTGTTGTGGCTAATTTTCCACCACTCCTTGAAGTCCCCGTCCCAAATTCCTAGGCATTGAATGTGGCAGCCCAGAAGCCTCCAAGAATAATGGCTTCCAAGCTGACAGTTTGTTTGTTTGTTTGCTTGCTTGCTTGCTTGCTTGTAACATAGTGGTTGTGTGTTTCCCCCCAGTGAAGAGGTCTTCCTCCCCACAATGGGCCCTACAAGACCAATAAGTAATTCAGGGGTGTCCAACCTTGGCTACTTTAAGGCCTATAGACTTCCTATTCTGGGAGTTGAGGTCCACAGGTCTTAAAATGCCCAAGATTGGACACCCCTGCTCTAAATTACAAACTCTTCCATTCCATAGTTGAGGGATGAGGGCAGCTAGATGGTTTCTAGACAATGAAGACTTGTCTGAAAGACTGTTTGGGTAGAATCTTATTTCAATGCCATATTCCAGAATAATATTAGGGTTCAGTTGGGATGGCCCAAAGTCTGAACTTTTTCTGACAAAACAGCCATGCTGACTGGAGAATTCTGGGAGTTGAAGTCCACAGGTCTTAAAATGGCCAAGATTGGACACGCCTGCAGTAACTGCATCATGTTATGTTTGGACTCCACCCAGATCAAGCCTTGTTGATGGGTACCAAGCACCTATGGACCTTTGATGGGAAAGTGTACAGCTTGACGTCCAACTGCAGTTTGCTGCTGGCCAAAGATTTTTCCCAGGATGCCTTTACTGTCATCCTAAACCAGAGCAGTGGTGCAGACAGGTCTCTGTACGTCAACATGAAGAAAAGAGTTGTCATCATTTACCCCGCACTGAAGGTAAAAATTGGAATTTCAGTTAAAGTTTTAGGTGTTATCAATCCAGACAAAAGCAAAATGTATAGAGGGAGATGCTAAGGTTAATTAACGGTGCATCCAAGCTCCCCCCCCCAATTTTTTGCTATTTACAATCAGGTGATAGGTATGTCAACTATCCGTCCTTCCCCATTTTGGATAATAGCATAACAACAAATCCCAAGGCACTAAACCAAGAATTTGGGTTCATAGAATGTAGAACAATAGGGTTGGAAGCAGTGGTGGGATTCAAAAAAAATTTTACTACCTGTTCTGTGGGTGTGGCTTGGTGGGCGTGGCATGGGAAGGATACTGCAAAATCCCCATTCCCTCCCCAACCCACTAACCTGCTTTCTAGCTCCGTTCTCCTGTGCAGGGCAACCAAAGAAGACCCAGCCAATCATCTGGGACTTGGGAGGCAGGGCCAGTCAGAGGTGGGATTTGCCGGTTCTCCGAACTACTCAAAATTTCCGCTACTGGTTCTCCAAAACTGGTCAGAACCTGCTGAATACCACCTCTGGTTGGAAGGGACCTTGGAAGTCTTCTAGTCCAACCCCGTTTGAGCAGGAGACTCCATTTTGAACAATTGGCTATCCAATCTGTTCTTGGAAACCTCCCAGTAATGGAGCACCCACAGCTTCTATAGGCAAGGCATCCCATTAATCTGTTGATTAATTGTTCTCCCAATTTCTCCTTAGTTCTAGGTTGGATCACCTAAATCAACCCTAGGTTGAATTCAATTTAGGTTGGGAAAGAGACTCTGGCTACATACTCAGCTCTGATTTAAGAGTAACCTAAATCATCCACATATTTCTTCTGGCTTGCGTTTACCCTCCTGTAAGCAATCTTCCCAAGCTGGATTTTTTTAAAAAAAAACAAAAAACACTTGTTTTCAAATAGATCTACAAGCAATACAACACTTCGCTGTTGAAGGACTGCGGGAGTTTTGACGTCCCCCTCCAAGAAAATAGCACCACAGTCCAGGTGGATACAAACCAGGTTGAAATGACTGCAGCCGATGGAGCCTTGGTTTTTTGCGACCTTCGTTACGATTTCTGTACTTTTACCTTGGATGGATGGCATCATGGTTTGTACAAAGCATTCAGATGTGACCAAAGTATTGACTTTAAGAATGAATGAATGTTCTTTAATGGAGCATTAAAATAAGATAGAAGTAGTGGGCATTCTCGGATTCTGTCAAAGCTGCCTTTGTAATCTGCAGGGTATTCAGAGTTTTGCAGTGTTAATTCAGCTCCAGAAAAATAAACACAGATGCTGGTGCTTCATTTAACATCTTTATAAACATAATAAGTAGATAATAAGTAGATTTTACAAACAGTTAGCTGGCTAACCTTGTTCCCATACTCAATTCCAGTTCATGAATATACTCTGACAAAGGGATTCATTTTTCTTTTTCCTATTCTTTCTAGGTGTGTCTGCTGGTCTTTTTGGTACCAACGACAATGAAGCTGGAAACGAATGGATGCTTCCTGACCATTCCCTGGCTAAGAGCTTGCCAGAATTCATACAAGCATGGCAGGTATTTGGCAGAGGAAATATTGAACACAAAAGGAAAGCTGCAATCAGATAGGGCTAGGAGTACAATTGGTCAACAGTTAAAGACGTTGAAAAGCTAACCATCTGGGTTCCAGACCCAAGTGCCGCCTGATAGGGTGAGTGAATTCCCGTTATTTGCTCCAGCTCCTGCCCACCTACCAGTCCAAAAGCATGCAAGTAGATAAACAGGTACCACTTCAGTGAGAAGGCAACAGTGTTCCATGTGCCTTTGGCATACAGCCATGCTGGCTTCATGATCATGGGAAATTTGGGGGTCCATTGTGGTGATAAGGACTACCTGTACTGTAAAGAAATAGTCAAGAAACAGTTGAAAGTAGCGACAAAGCAAATGTCAAGATTTGTTCCTCCGTGAATGCTGATGGTGGAACTCATAAGTTATGTATGAATAGCTGGTCTCTTTAAAGATGTGATATTTGCTGAATGCACAGCCATTCGTTTTGGGTAAATAACCTTGTCCTTCAAGGCGGACATAAGCTATGCAACGCAAGCTCTGAATTGTTTACACTGACAGGGGTGTGTTTGATTTTTCTCCTCCAAGGTGAACGGCCGTTGCAGTGAAGTCAAGAGAGATGGCAAATCTTGCGTCAATGAGCAGAGCGCTACAATCTGCCAGATCTTTTTCCAGGATCCCGCCTCACCTTTTAGGAACTGTTTTGGAGTTGTAAGAATATATAATGCTAATGATGTACTGTATAATGGTTTAGGGATTGGATGATAAGAAAAAAATAGATTTTGCCATTGGCAGGGGGTTGCATTGGAAGACCTCCAAGGTCCCATCCAGCTGATTCTGTGTTGTAACCTCAGAGTAAGAGGTACGTTTATAGCTGTGATTCTCACTGCTATAAAAAAAGGGAAGCTATTTTTTAAAAGTTCTTTTCTGTCTTTTGCACCTGTGACTTTTCTTTCTTTCTCTTCCTTCCTTCCCTTCCTTCCTTCCTTCTCTTTTCTTTCTTTCTTTCCTTTCCTTCCTTTCCTTCCTTCTCTTTTCTTTCTTTCTTCCTTCCTTCTCTTTTCTTTCTTTTCTTTCCTTCCCTTCCTTCCTTCCCTTCCTTCCTTCCTTCCTTTCCTTCCTTTCCTTCCTTCCTTCCTTCCTTCCTTCCTTCTTTCCTTCTTTCTTTCTTTCTTTCTTTCTTTCTTTCTTTCTCAACATCTTTATGGATTCTTTTCCTGCTAAAAAAAATACTTGTACTTTTCTATCATTTTTGTTTGGTCTGCATTTTATGAGCACATTCAAACAGATGTTCTTCATTAGAGCCAGACTAAAGGAGACTGCTATATTTACCCAATAAACATCTGGACATTTTTCTCTTCTTTTTCTTAATAGGTGAATCCTGAACCATTCTACCACTGGTGCAAAACTGACTTGTGTGAACAGCAGAGCATCAAAGCAGCCTGTAACTTAGCTGCAGCTTTCAGGCATCTGTGCAATCGGAATTTCATCCCAATAGAGATGCCCCTTCAGTGTGGTAAGATGTTCCACCTCCCACCTCCAACACACCACCAAATAAATTACAGGCTTTAGAACTGTTGATGTAGAACTGTCATACCTCACCACTCAAATATGTCACATTACAATCATTACACGTTTACAACCATTCGTTGAGCAATTTACAGCTGGTCCTCGAACTTCCGACTGTTGCAACATCCCCATGGATACATGGGCCAAATATGGGCACTTGGCAAGCCGCATCTATTTACAACCATGGCAGTATCATGGGGTCACGTGATCAACATTTACAACTGGCTTCCAAACAGCAAAGTCAATGGGGGAAACCAGATTTGCTTAACCACACAGGCAAAAACAGTCATAAAATCAGTCGCGATTCACTTAATAACTGCCTTGCTTAGCGATGGAAATTCTAGTCACAGTTGTAATCATAACTGTGGGGACTCTCTGTACTGTAAGCTGCCTAGAGTCATGTAAAACTGACGCGGGTGGCTACATAAATCAAATGAATAACTAAATAATGACAATTTTGTTTCATTTTAGAGACGGCAAAGTGAGGCTGAGAAGAAGCTGGTTGCTTGAAGCTATGCTTGCAATAGAGGGAGGATCTTCCTACTTAAATCCCCCACCAGCCCAAGCTCAACTCTAACAAGATCATAAGCTTCGTCTTACAAAATTGTCCCGTGTTGGCTTAATGAAACGACTGGAGGAGCTGTTAAGATTAGCTTTGACTGTTGCAGTAACCACCAACTGTTGGACCATCTGGAAAAAGTCCTCAAAATGGCTTCTCCTTGTGTTTGCTATGTTAAAGAAGATACCGCTTGAAAAGTATCTGGCAAAGTCTTCTCGGCAAAGAGTTGCAGAATGTTAAAATTAGATCTCCGTGTAGCCATCAGTTTAGAATAATTTTGGAGAAGATTTGTACTGGATTTTTTTTTCCCCTGCTGCTCCTAATAATCAAATAAGGTTTCAGTTATGTTCAACAGAAGTGGGTATTCAGCAGGTTCTGACCAGTTCTGGAGAACCGGTAGCGGAAATTTTGAGTAGTTTGGAGAACCAGCAAATCCCACCTCTGACTGGCCCTGACCCCATCTATTCTCTGCCCCCCATTGAATCCCAGCTGATCGGCTGGGTCTCCTTTGGTTGCCCTGCATAGGAGAACGGAGCTGGAAAGCAGGTTAGTGGGGTGGGGAGGGAATGGGATTTTGCAGTAACCTTCCCCTGCCACGCCCACCAAGCCACACCCACAGAACCAGTAATAAAAAAAAATGAATCCACCACTGATGTGTTCATCATTTGAGACCATTTGAACATCTGGAATGAACTGTCCGCAACAGCTTGTTCTTTGGTAACTCCCCATTTTCAGATGATATAAAACCCTACTCTTCTGGAAACTTTTAACACCTCCCTACCACACATACACACACACACACACACACACACACACACACACACACACACACACAGAACATACACAAAGAAAGATGCCCTGGGGGAAAAATCGCTGAGGAATTTCTGACCCGCTGTAGGACTTTAGGACCAAAAGTGAAATAGTTAAATAAAAAGCAGAATTAAAATGTGAAATGGTTGCAGTTGTTTTATTGCTTATGTATTTTGTACGCCTGTTTTACTTAATATTATAATGTAGGACCACATAGATTGGAAACATGCAGAAGAGGCTTTCATCCTTCAGCAGATAGACAATGGCTAAAATGATGTAATGATAAATAATCTATATATATAAAAGCGAAATACCACTCACGCATTATCACAAAATCTCCAGAACCGTAAAGCCTACAAACTTGAAATTCATTATGTATGTTCCTCTTGGCTACTAGGTGCTCACAAAGAAAGGATTTTTCTATACGACCATCAGAGCATTAGTATTTCCTATATTATTATTATTAACATGCTCTGGTGCTAAGGAGTTCTACTCCCCCTCCCCACCTGAAAAGAAATCTGTTCCAAATGCAAGACACAAGCAGAGGAGTTTCAGTTTTCGTTTCACAGCAGCAACCAGCTTTAGTACAGTTGAGCTAAGCCACGCCCAGGCTCCTTGCTGTCTCGTGCACACAGTAAATACTGTTTCAGTTTCATACATACACACATATTTATAATACGGTAGTATATGATAGTATTTATATGAATTATACATCAATACTACATATGCATATATATATTTGCATTTGTACATCTGTATGTGTATGTACAGTATATGCATGTATGTAAAAGCAAGATTAAAATTTTAATAATTTTAATTAATTAATTTTAATAATAATAATAATAAAATCAGAGGAAGCATTCCACATCATCGCTTAGAACCTCATCTTCGGGAGTCCAACCCCCCCCCCACCCCCCCCCCCCCCCCCCCCATATTGGCTGGGAACGCTGGGACCTGGAGTCCCAAACCACTCCAGGCGTGGAAAGGCAGCCCCGCCTCTTTCCCCCTTAAACCGGGGAAAAGAACAGAGACGACCTTCCAAGGACCATCGAGAGCGCAGCGGCTAGACCGGGGTGGGTGGGTGCGGCTTTCGCGACGCTTTTACGACGGCGCCTCTTTCCTCTCGGCGGCCGGAAGCGCTGCTTGGGGAGGCGGAAGCGGAAGCGCTCGTGAGGGGGGGTGGAAGGGGAGGGCGCAGCGGGAGAGAAATAAAGAAGAGGCGGCGGCGGAGGGAGCTGGGATGCGACGGAGGGACGGACGGTGGTGAGTGGCTCCTTGCCGCGCCTTCACCCACCCACCCACCCACCCACGGGGGGCCCGGCCCAGCCTCCGGGGTTGCAGCAGCAGGCCGGGCCAGGGTCCGGGAGGTGGGGGAGAGTCCCTATGGAGGTGTGGGAGTGGGGGGGCGGGCTTGCCCACACAGAGGGGTCGCCCCTCCTGGGCTGGGGCTGGAGCCGCGACCCGGGCAGGCGAGCCCTCGCTCGAGGAGGGAAAGGCGGCCGCGAAGGCAAGCGGGGGGTGGGGTGGGTGGGGGGCGGCGTTCGCTCTTGGGGACGCCTCCGCCCGCCTTGCAGCTCCGGCTGCGGCGAGGGGAGGCCTCGGGCTGGGTAAATAGTCGGCTCCTTAGGCGGGTCCCGAGGGTGTTATGGGCGTCCCTGTCAGGGGCTTGGAAGCAGTTGTGGCTCTGCTGCCCTGAGGGTAAACCGGGGGCCGGGGGGAGAAAGGCTCGTGGTGTTTTATTTATTATTGTTATTGCTATTATTATTATTATTATTATTATTATTATTATTATTATTATTATTATTATTATTATTATTACTATTATTATTATTACTATTATTACTATTATTACTATTATTACTATTACTATTACTATTACTACTATTACTACTATTACTATTATTACTACTACTATTACTATTACTATTATTACTACTACTATTATTACTACTACTATTACTATTATTACTATTACTATTTTTATTATTACTATTATTTTGTTATTATTACTGCTACTACTATTACTACTTTAGTGAGATTCACAGCCTTTGGGGCTGGTTGATAGCTCAACAGCTCAAATTATTATTATATTATTTTATTATTAATAATAATATTAAGCGTGAAACTGAGTCAACTGAGCATTTTAAAATGTATCACAAATATCATTGACTGGTGCTGATGGTGGATACGGGTTTATGCCAGCATCCTAGTATCAACTATCTAAGGCTCTTATTATTATCATTATCCATCATTGTCATCATCATCATTGCTATATAAGATTTCATCTTCAACTAGCTGGATACCCATGCTTCGCTATGAAACTATGTGGTCGGGCTTAATTTTTGGGGAGGAAAATGGGGGGGGG